CAAATAAAGGTCCGCTATTTAGCGAGCGACATTCGATTAGACATTCAAATAGACATTCGTGTATACATTCGGACTTTGATTGCTTCTTAAAAAAAAACTATAAAAGATAATAAATAGATATTTTATAGTAGGAAACTTGGCTGGATTATCTGTCGATTCGTGTATCTTGTTTATAATAAAATGCGCTGTGCTTCCAAAGGTGAGCCAAAACATCGAAAAATTTTTGACACGGCCTAAATTTTAACGTAAATCAGACATTCGAGGTGAAACAGCACATGCCGATTTGAACACATCTTCGACACTAGGGCAGAAATAAATACGCTAAATCGACTCCAAACTACTGAAAACGTACCATCACTTCCATTTTTCACCAATTGAAAGCGTAAAACATGAAAATTCGAACATCCAAAAGGTATCCAACAACCTCCGAGGAAACCCCCAAATGAAAACATCACCAAAAAATGTCCCTAAATAACTTTCGTAAAAGTGTTCGGATTTGGATGAAACTTGATATGCTTACTAAATTCGTTGTACTTGACATGTATTAGGGGGTCTGGTTGAGTTTTTTTGGCTTTTGGTGAAATTTTCGAGACCCCTTCCCCGAAGCTCTATACTGAAGCCTTATAGAAAGTTTCTCGAATGTCGATGTCCCTAAATAACTTTCGTAAAAGTGTTCGGATTTAGATGAAACTTGATATGCTTACTAAATTCGTTGTACTTGACATGTATTAGGGGGTCTGGTTGAGTTTTTTTGGCTTTTGGTGAAATTTTCGAGACCCCTTCCCCGAAGCTCTATACTGAAGCCTTATAAAAAGTTTCTCGAATGTCGATGTCCCTAAATAACTTTCGTAAAAGTGTTCGGATTTAGATGAAACTTGATATGCTTACTAAATTCGTTGTACTTGACATGTATTAGGGGGTCTGGTTGAGTTTTTTTGGCTTTTGGTGAAATTTTCGAGACCCCTTCCCCGAAGCTCTATACTGAAGCCTTATAGAAAGTTTCTCGAATGTCGATGTCCCTAAATAACTTTCGTAAAAGTGTTCGGATTTGGATAAAACTTGATATGCTTACTAAATTCGTTGTACTTGACATGTATTAGGGGGTCTGGTTGAGTTTTTTTGGCTTTTGGTGAAATTTTCGAGACACCTTCCCCGAAGCTCCATACTGAAGCCTTATAGAAAGTTTCTCGAATGTCGATGTCCCTAAATAACTTTCGTAAAAGTGTTCGGATTTGGATGAAACTTGATATGCTTACTAAATTCGTTGTACTTGACATGTATTAGGGGGTCTGGTTGAGTTATTTCGGCTTTTGGTGAAATTTTCGAGACCCCTTCCCCGAAGCTCTATACTGAAGCCTTATAGAAAGTTTCTCGAATGTCGATGTCCCTAAATAACTTTCGTAAAAGTGTTCGGATTTGGATGAAACTTGATATGCTTAATAAATTCGTTGTACTTGACATGTATTAGGGGGTCTGGTTAAGTTTTTTTGGCTTTTGGTGAAATTTTCGAGACCCCTTCCCCGAAGCTCTATACTGAAGCCTTATAGAAAGTTTCTCGAATGTCGATGTCCCTAAATAACTTTCGTAAAAGTGTTCGGATTTGGATGAAACTTGATATGCTTAATAAATTCGTTGTACTTGACATGTATTAGGGGGTCTGGTTGAGTTTTTTTGGCTTTTGGTGAAATTTTCGAGACCCCTTCCCCGAAGCTCTATACTGAAGCCTTATAGAAAGTTTCTCGAATGTCGATGTCCCTAAATAACTTTCGTAAAAGTGTTCGGATTTGGATGAAACTTGATATGCTTACTAAATTCGTTGTACTTGACATGTATTAGGGGGTCTGGTTGAGTTTTTTTGGCTTTTGGTGAAATTTTCGAGACCCCTTCCCCGAAGCTCTATACTGAAGCCTTATAGAAAGTTTCTCGAATGTCGATGTCCCTAAATAACTTTCGTAAAAGTGTTCGGATTTGGATGAAACTTGATATGCTTACTAAATTCGTTGTACTTGACATGTATTAGGGGGTCTGGTTGAGTTATTTCGGCTTTTCGTGAAATTTTCGAGACCCCTTCCCCGAAGCAGGCACGTAAATAATAGGGGGGGCGTTGGGGGCGTAACGCCCCCCCCCCCAATGTTTGGAAAATCCAGTTACAGTTGGAAAACTCAACGGTTGACTTGGAATTTTTTTCTTAAGACCCAACTTGTGAATTTTATATTTTAAGAAGTTTTTTATTTTAAATGTTAAAATTCTAAACATTAAAATTCACAGGCATAAGCTGACCCATCCACTAATCGTTTTCTACTGTGAATCCCGTCTCCATTGGATCCAAATTGCACAATTGCCCCGTTTGCTTTCTTTCTGAAGGGAGTTGAATCAAATTACGAACAGGCAAGGTGAATTTCCCGATAAGAAACTTGAAACTTTACAGTTTGGAATAATAATACCCGTATTGATCAGAATATATTAGAGTGGGAGTTTTTTAAGAAACTACGAGTAGTTAATTCAATAAGTAATTAAGAATCTTTCAGTACTAAAAGTTCTCAACGTCTCTTATAAAAAACGAGTTTATGCTAAACTCCCCCTGTTATTTGTTAACGTCCTTGACACCTTATCATAAATTCCTATGACAAAACTGCTGTGAAGCAAGAACACATTGCAAAAGCTGCAGTAGAAGTATTTGATCAAAGAAGGGTGTTTCATCTTTCAAATCAGGCATATGCACAAGCTTGCTCTCAAATGATCATTTCAATTGTAAAGAACGAAAAGGCAATTGGCCCTTTGAAAATTGTTAGTAGTTTTTTTCGATCAAGATAAAAAATAAAAGGCTCAAATTCTTGGTGCTTCTATATCGCGAAAAAAAATGTATTTTAGATAAAATTGATCTGAAAGAATACTACTAATCATTAAGTATATTTAATACTGGTTTTGCTTAAATGTTGCTTTACTTCTTACAGTAAGTTTAAATGTTTGTTTCGTGTTAATCAAAATTTAATGATTTAGGCTTTTATGCTTTAGGCTAATTATTGAGTAAAGTTTTGGTAATTATAAAGAAAATAGAACTATGGTGTTCGGGCTATTTACAAATATCAATTTGGTAGGTACAGTAGATTTACTGGTCGAATGAACAAATTCTCACTTAAAGTCGGAATTTTCATCCTTCCACGCCCCTCCAAAATTAGCAACTCGTTTTTGTGCATTTCTGGGTAGTTCACCATCTGCCTTCACGCTTCTCTTTTGCTCTTTTATCTATTGTATTTATTCTGCTTTTGTCACCTCCGGCTGGACCTAGAAACTTTACTTGTGTATTCTAATTAGCTATTATTATCCTTGCTAGTAAAATGTGTTATCTGTATTTCTTTTGTTTTGTATTCCTTATTTTACGCTCCAAATTTAAGTGTAGGTTATTCTGAAGAAGCATATTGCGAAACGTTAATCAAGTTGTTCTTATATCGTTTTGGGCATTAATATTTCTAAATTTAGGTGTAAGTTCAGCTGGAATCCTCCTACTTCTGATCCTCTGCTAGAATCTTATCTTTCTCAACTTGAAAAGGAAGTGCTGTCTGTCACCGCGGAAGGTAAGTATTACAGCAACCTTTCCTCTTCTGAACTTTCTGCGTTGAATAATCTTAAGTGTGATATAGACCAGACGGAAAATGAGGTAGGGGTAACCTGGAGCCGAACTTTATTAGGTAATGTTTTTCCGATGTAGAATTTTGTGCTGAATAAGAAAATCTTTGGTAAACTTGCGGTACCCGCTGGGATTACCATATATGGGCATTTTTCGAACCGGGGGTATGGTAATCAATTATTTCCCTAAAAACATATCTTTTAAAGGTCGGTCTTGGCATTAAACATCATTTTATACCATTTTAAACACTGATTTGATCCCTTTTTGTTAATTCTACCAGGTAGCAGCAAGTTATAGGATTAGGGGGATTAAGATTGTGAAGATGAGGGTTACATCATGTGTTTGATTGTCTAGAATATCGCAAAAAGTACAAAAAGGATCGTACCTGCGTTTCATAAGAATTTTTCATTGCTGTTACTAAATTCTTCATCCTCACTTTCATCGCTGCTCTCATTATCAAGGAAGCGGACAAGGGTTCAGCTGTTGTAGTTTGGGACAGGGGAATTACCTAAAAGAGGCTAACCGGCAATTAGGTGATAGGCAAGTTTAAGAGGAGATTGAGGTGGACCCCACGATAGAATTGGGCAAGGACGTTAATAATAGGATTAATGAGTTAAGGGCGGAGGATCCCGGGTTAAAGGAAATGACTGAATTTTGTCTTAAGGTTAAAGTGAGGGGAAACTAGGTAGAATCTATTTGTTACCTAAGATTCGTAAGGGATTAAGTGGGGTTAAGGGTAGGCCAGTCATTTCCAATTGGGGCACCATTACAGAAAATATATCAGAATATCTAGATCACCACCTCAATCCACTGGTTAGCCTCGGTAGGTCGTACATTAAGGACACTATCATTTTTTTTCTAAGTTAAGTGAAATAGGTAGGACACCAGAGGGGGCTATACTATGCACGGTTGATGTTGTGGGACTCTATTCTAGCATTCCACATGGAGAGGGTTTGAAAGCCATCAGGGAAGCGCTGGATAGATGGTAAACCCAAACGTGTCTTCTGATACCCTGGTGGGATTGGCATCTTTGGTTCTCGATCTTTGATGATAGGTTTTATAGACAGAAGTTAGGCACCGCTATAGGAACTAAGTTCGCTCCAGCTTATGCAAACCTCTTTGGGACTGGGTTGGAAGAAAGATTGTTGAAGGAATCAGTGGACACACCCATTGTCTGGATGAGATTCATCGATGATGTTTTCTTCATCTGGACACATGGCGAGAAGAAGCTTGAGACCTTCATCAAATTTCTTAACAGTAGCCACGATACCATTAAGTTTAAAGGGGAGCACTCTAGGGAGAGCATAAGTTTTTTAGACGTTAAGGTTAGTGTAAGTGAGGGGGGAGTCCTAACGACAGACTTGTTTTGTAAACATACTGATACACATCAGTATTTCCATAAGAAGTCTTGTCACCCCTGTCATACCAGAAGACATTACCCTATAGTCAGGCTTACATAGGATTTCACCAAAAGCCAAAAAAACTCAATCAGACCCCCTAATACATGTCAAGTACAACGAATTTATTAAGCATATCAAGTTTCATCCAAATCCGAACACTTTTACGAAAGTTATTTAGGGACATCGACATTCGAGAAACTTTCTATAAGGCTTCAGTATAGAGCTTCGGGGAAGGGGTCTCGAAAATTTCACCAAAAGCCAAAAAAACTTAACCAGACCCCCTAATACATGTCAAGTACAACGAATTTATTAAGCATATCAAGTTTCATCCAAATCCGAACACTTTTACGAAAGTTATTTAGGGACATCGACATTCGAGAAACTTTCTATAAGGCTTCAGTATAGAGCTTCGGGGAAGGGGTCTCGAAAATTTCACCAAAAGCCAAAAAAACTCAACCAGACCCCCTAATACATGTCAAGTACAACGAATTTAGTAAGCATATCAAGTTTCATCCAAATCCGAACACTTTTACGAAAGTTATTTAGGGACATTTTTTGGTGATGTTTTCATTTGGGGGTTTCCTCGGAGGTTGTTGGATACCTTTTGGATGTTCGAATTTTCATGTTTTACGCTTTCAATTGGTGAAAAATGGAAGTGATGGTACGTTTTCAGTAGTTTGGAGTCGATTTAGCGTATTTATTTCTGCCCTAGTGTCGAAGATGTGTTCAAATCGGCATGTGCTGTTTCACCTCGAATGTCTGATTTACGTTAAAATTTAGGCCGTGTCAAAAATTTTTCGATGTTTTGGCTCACCTTTGGAAGCACAGCGCATTTTATTATAAACAAGATACACGAATCGACAGATAATCCAGCCAAGTTTCCTACTATAAAATATCTATTTATTATCTTTTATAGTTTTTTTGTAAGAAGCAATCAAAGTCCGAATGTATACACGAATGTCTATTTGAATGTCTAATCGAATGTCGCTCGCTAAATAGCGGACCAAATAAAACGCCAAAAGCAATGGAAAAGTACGTTTTTAGACTAATAACACTAATAAAGCTGTAAGCTACCGCACAAACTGGGGCAATTAATGTCTTCTCAAATGAAGTAGATTTGGTTTGATAAATGATTTTGGAGTCTTCTTGACCAAAACCAACCGAAAAAGGTAATAACCAAAGGTCCTTTCACCCAGTTTCAAGGAAAGGAAAGAATTTCAGTATCTAATGGTGTTGGGGCTGCGTTACCCGTTAGGTTGCATTATTTCTTTCAGATATCTCATAGTTTTTTTAAAAAGCTTGATAAATTAAATTTGATAATCTTATTGCTTCACTGTAGATATGTGTTAGCCTTTTTCTGAACTGCAATTTTTTTAGCTGTATTCTTTTTTGTTATCTGTTCTAGCAAATTTTTAGACTATAATTTCTTCCATAGGAGACAATGCCAGTGAATGGCCTGAAGATGCACAGATTTACCAACCTCTTTTAGGTAGGTCGGTATTTATCAATCTATATTTTAATTAACCGAATTTCAATGAGTTCAAACATAATAGGGAGGTAAATGCAGCATGGAAAGGAACTGGTCACCTTACCACACATTGCTCTGACCCAGGATTATGTGCCCCCAACAGCATATTCCCCAACAATTGATATCAAATATTCAAAGTAAACTTTTTCAGGTTAACACGATAGTTTTCAGAGCCTGTAGGGAAATAAGTATCAATCTATATTTGTTTGAGAAAAAAACCTTATTTTTCTTATTATTTGATAACTATTTAGTAATGCAGAAAACCTGTTGCTTGCTATAACCTTGATGCTTTAAGAACATAAGAACAGATGTTAAGAATTTTAAATTCTCTTAGGTCAAATGACTTTACCTGAGCAAGCAAAATGCTATGGAATTGAGGTAAGTTTGTTAAAAATGTTTTTGTTGAAGACACAACTTTTATGTTGTGAATTTATATTGACAGGAATAATCTATCCCATTTTTAATTGTTCAATATGAGATTTCGATATAAGACCCATGGTTGTATTTCAAAAAATTTTCTTGTTTGAATTATAGTAACTGAGGGGCATTTGGAACAAGTTTTTATGGGAGTGAAATTAGTTGATTAATTTTAGTTGACATTACAATACATGTTATTATGTTTGCTCATTATCACTTTGTAGGCTCTTCTCAGACTTCAAAACCTGAAATATGATTTGGTAATGAGATCAAATGCAGAATATATTTCTCCATCAGGTATTAATGAAAATTACTGTTTCCCAGTCTCTCTCTAAGTGCATGTTGGCATTTAATGCTTTTGTGTGTAGAAAAGAGGAGCTGTAAATTGCCGCTTTGTAGCCTTATGACCGCAAAATTCAAAACATTTTTTGATTTGTATTAATGACTTTAATTCAGTCTGAAAATATATTTCAAATAAAACATTGTTAGAAAAACTAGTCCTTGAAACTACTAATGTGGAAGCCAGTTGTATTGTTACAGCAAGTTTATATTTAGATATCTTTAATGACAGGAAAGGTACCCTTATTGCGAATAGATGATGAGGTAGTTTCAGAAGAGTCAATTCTTTCTTGGCTGCAGAAGAAGGTGAATGAAATAAAATATTTCAATGACTGTTTTTTATATTGAATAGACTTATTGCCTTGAAATTTTTCAAGTAGGAATGATGGTAAGTTTTTGAAATTCCATTCACCCTTATTAGTATTTTGAAATTCCAGTCCAAGCTATGCTGAATCTATTATTTTTGTTAGGAATTTCATCAATGACCTCTTTATTTATTTCACCCAGTCTGTTTGGTACTAGGGAGGTACAGGAAAATTAGCCACCTTTGCTAAACTCCCATGGTTAACAGAACAACATCTGTGATCAAT